CTATCACAATGCAATGGTGCGTTTCTTGTCTGATGCTAGCCTGATTCTCCCACTCACCATAAACGGATGTACTCGCCATGTCTGAGATATCGTCACATTTGACCTCCAGCCATGCAGCCTATCGAGTGTTGGCATTCTGGAGCAGCTCTTCACCATCTACATAGTGCAGCCATAAAGTAACACCTCTCACAGCACACAGGTGGCATAGCTGACACTTCCTTATATTGCCTGTACCACCCCTTTCAGCGTTTTAAGCTCCAGGCCACACAGCTTGCCTGTACTTAGCCACATCCCTCTTTCAGTCTCTGCTACTCTTTCCCCCGATGCCCATTGTGGCTCAGCATTTGCCTCCGTTGTCCTGGTCGAAGTAGCCACACTCAACCTCAATCAGGGGTCACCTAACAGAATCTTCAGTCCTTGTCACCCAGTAACCATCCATGTAAGGCATCTGGACAAGTTAGGGATAGCAGAGAGAGCAAGCAAACACCCCTGAGATGAAGTCTAGTCCAATCTGTTAACTGCTTTCTGGGCAATTAGGGATGGGCAATAAATGCTAGCCAAGCCCGTGATGCCAATTCCTATGAATGAATAAATTTAATAAAACCAGTAAACTGGTTGCCTACAGAACATAGTGTCCTTGCAGCAGCATTACAACAAAGGGGACCGGTGTACTGGATGAGAGACGTGTTGCGATGCTGCAGTGAGGCTGATAGATGTCAAGTGACAATGTCCATCGACAGTGTGTCCACTGTCAAAGAGGGAGGTCTGGAGGGAACAAATAGCAAACTATATTCACCAGGTCACTGCTCTGACTTTCATTTCGGGAGACTCAGTGTCCAGTTGCGGGTGGTGGAATTGGAGCTGTCATAGAGTCATACAGCATGGAAACAGACTCTTTCGTCCAACCAGTCCATGCTGAACATAATCCAAACCAAACTAGTCCCATCCGTCTCCTCCTAGCCCATATCCCTCCAAACCTTTCCTATTCATGTACTTATCCAAATGTCTTTTAAACATTGTAATAGTACTTCCTCAGGAAGTTCATTCCACATGCGAACCACCCTCTGTGTAAAAAATTTGCCTAAATCTCTCTCCTCTCACCTTAAAAATATGTCCCCTAGTCTTGAAATCCCCCATCCAAGGGAAAAAGACAACTACCATTAACACTATCTATACAACTATTACTTTATAAACTTCTATAAGGTCGCTTCCCAACCTACTATGCTCCAGTGAAAACTGTCCCAGCCTAGTCAGCTTTTCATGATAACTCCAACCTTCCATACCCGGCAACATCCTGGTATATCTCTTCTGAACCCTCTCCAGTTAATAATATCCTTCCTTTAACTGGGCGATCAGAACTGCACACAGTACTCCAGAAGAGGCCTCACCAATGTCCTATATAACCTCAATATGACTTCCCAACTCCTATACTCAAAGGAATGAGCAATGAAGGCAAGCATGCTAAACACCTTTTTAACCTGTCTATAGTGACACAAACTTCAAAGAATTATGTACCTGCACTCCTAGGTACCTCTGTTCTACAACACTACCCAAGGCCATACCATTAATTGTACAAGCCTTATCCTTGTTGTATCAAAATGCAATACCTCGCGTTTACCCAGATTGAACTCTATCTGCCATTTTTCAGCCCGTTGACCCATTTGGTCATGATCCCGTTGTAATCTTAGAAAACCTTCTTCCTGTCTACTATGCCATAATTTTGGTTTCATCTGCAAACTTACTAACCATGCCTTCGATATTCTCATCCAAATCATTTTATATAAATGACAAACAAAAGAGGAGCCAGAACCAATCCCTATGGAACACCGCTGGTCACAGGCCTCCAATCGGAATAATAACTCATCGCCACCACTCTGTCTCCTGCCGTTAAGCCAATTTTGTATCCAATTGGCAAGCTCACCCTGAATCCTATGTGACCTAACGTTACTAATTAGTCTACCATGTGGAATCTTCTCAAAGGCTTTACTAAAATCCATGTCGATGACATCTACAGCTCTGTCCTCGTCAATCTTTTTGGTAACTTCTTCAAAAAACTCAATCAAGTTTGTGAGACATGATTTTCCTTGCACAAAACCATGCTGACTATTCCTAATCAATGTTTGCCTCTCTTTAATGTCCATAAATCCTATCTGTCATAATCACATCCAACAATTTACCCACAACCAAAGGCAGATTCACAGGTCTATAGTTCCCCAGTTTCTCTTTACAACCTTTCTGAAACAAAGGTACAACATTAGCCACCCTCCAGTCATCAGGCACCTCACCCATAGTTATAGATAACGCAAATATATCTGCAAGGGGTCTCGTAATTTCCTCCCTCACCTCCCATAACGTTCTATTAATGAGGCAAGATTAAATAATATTGAGCGATAATTCCCATTAATAGGCCTGTCACTAGTGAGAATCTACTCAATCCGGAACTTGATTATAAAATGTGACTCTTTGGTCTCGCTGTCAGGAGCCTCTCACTCGACATCTCACCCAATTCTCCCAAATTTCTCGGCATTTAGGAAGATTTGGCCCTTTGTGTTTAGGTGTGTGATAAATGTTGGCGAGGACACCAGGGACAGTGCCCCTGTTCTTCAGGACCCTGGGAATGTAGACAGCCTTCTGCACAATTCCATCCCCAGTAGATCACAATGAGGTCAGGGGTCATAGAGTGATAGAGGTCTACGGCATGGAAACAGGCCCTTCGGCCCAACTTGCCCATGCTGCCCAGTTTTCACAATTTAAATGAGTCCTATTTGCCTGCGTTTGGTCCATATTGCTCCATATCTATCCCATCCATTTACTTGTCTAAATGTTTCTTAAATGACAAAATTGTACTCACTTCCACCACTACCTACGGCAGCCCATTCCAGACACTCACCACCTTTGTGTGAAAAAGATTGTCCCTCTGGACCCTTTTGTATCTCTTCTCTCTCACTTTAAACCCATGCCCTCTTGTTTTAGACTCCCCTGCCATGGTGAAAAGCTGTTGGCTATCTACCTGATCTATGCCTGTCATGATTATATATAGCTCTATAAGGTCACCCCTCAGTCTCTTTCGCTCCGGGGAAAAGAGTCCCAGCCTATTCAACCTCTACTTATGACACAAACTTTCCAGCCCAGGTAGCAGCCTAGTAAATCATTTCTGTACTCTTTTCCTAATTTAATAATATCCTTTCTACAGTAAGATGACCAGAACTGCACGTAGTACTCCAAATGTGGCCTCACCAACGTCTTGTACAGCTGCAACAAGACGTTCCATCTCCTTTACTCAATGCTCTGACCAATGAAAGTTAGCATGCCAAAAGCCTTCTTCACCACCCTGGCTACCTGTGACTCCATTTTCAAGGAGCTATGTACCCTGTACCCCCAGATCTCTTTGTTCTATAAGAGTCCCCAGGACCCTACCATTGAATCTGTAGGTCCTGTTTCGGTTTACATTTACCTAATTTAAACTTCATAAGTATGTAGCAATGGAAAGACTGCTGAGTTGGAAGAAAAAAAGGCAGAAATTAAGTATTTTTGAAATAGTCTTGTGAAAGTCTGCAGACAACAGATTGTAACAGCATCGTCAAACCTCAAGGATTGTTCTGGAATCTGCAGGACTTGAATGTCATTCGCCAGGACACCGCTGTGTGCAACCTGTGAGGGGAAAAGAAATCACTAATTATCCAATTTGAATTAATTTGAAAGATTGTTTTGTTGTTTTCAATGGGGGAAGGTTGTTTGACCCAGTACCCAATTGGGTAATGAGTCTTCTTACTTTCTAATCAGTGTCAGAAGGTCAGGGGTCACAAGGATCAACTTGTCAGCCATTTTAATGGCAGGCGTGAAGGTAAGTCATGTGATGAGACCTCCAGGAATAATTTTATCACAGTTGGCAACGCTAGTTTGCAAACTTGTGATTTTAAAAGAAAACAAACTAGGAGCAGGAGTAGGCCTTTGATGTACACAACCAGTTTAATGATTTACCTGTCTGCTCTTAGTAAACAGCATAGATCATTTTAGAACAAGTGGGCAATTTTAGAATATGTTTAACAAGCCATGAGCATTAATCCAATTGGATGAGGACTTCTAAGGTGCCGCAAGTTTCATAATTTCTGATTTTTCCGTAAGCCGATTTCTAGCAGGCTGACGTTTAAAACCAAGACTGATATTTAAGGTCATTGAGGTAGAGGGAACTGTGTGCGAAGGGTTTTCCTTTCACTTTTTCTGTACTTACTGTCAGGAAGCCCAGTCAGATGTTTAACTAAATGACAATTTTTTTTTAAATTACTAAATGACATTTAAAGGTTGAGAGCTACTTTTTTCACAGCTGCAGCCTGTTTTCAATCAGTAAGCAAACCGTTGTTCGGAGAATTGAAAATGGCAAGAGAGGGAGGTTTTCCCCACTCCTGCACGATGCCGTCCCAACATCTTCACACTGAACTAATTAGATAATTGCTGCAATAATTAGGCTTGTGCTTGTATTATCTTGGCTGGTAAATGCTCTCTCAGGACTGGTCATAGCAAATGATTTCTAGGTTGTTGATGTGTGGAACTCTTCACTGTAATAAGGATAGAGAGAAGGTTCAAATGCAGATATTTTAATCAACCTATTTGGACACATTATAACACATCTCCGGTGGAACATGGGTCTGGATCTCCTGGCCCAGAGGAAGGGGCATTACCACTGTGATACAAGAGCCCTTAAACAGAAATAGCAAGCCATGGTCTCAACTGAGTGACCTCTGGGTTATCAGCTAAGCCCACGCCCACTGTACCACTCTGCTGGCCCCCACATAGTTGTACACTGTGTGCATTTCACGTGCACAATGATAACATGCAAATGGCCTCAAACTGTACTCTAATCTTCAACTGCACCACAAAAGCCCTTTCCAAAAGTTAACAACAGTGGGATTCAAACCAATGAGAGACTGGAATCTTAATCTAGGACCTTGGATCGCTCAGCCACACTACTACAAGGTTAGTGTGTTTGTATCAATATTTGGACCAGTTTTCAGTTTGCACTCAAGATTGTGCTCAATATGTTAATACAGCAGAAATTCAAACTGTTATTGTCGTTGGAGAAAGGGACTGATTAGATGGCTCGCTCCCTCCCTCTCTGTTTCTTCAGAGAGCCAGCAGGTATGGCCTTGTTAGGCCAAGTGGCCTGGTTCGGTGCCAATTTGAGTCTGTGTATTTGTAATATACATTGGGGAGCTCAGCTTAATGAATTGGTATTAACTATGATTGATTCCATGGGAATGCCAGATGTAAAAATTATTTCTTGTAAAGGGGATAGTGAGTTGCATTCGGGTGTTATCCCGGGAGCTATCTGGCACCATGCTTCATTTTCTGAAGCTGCCTTTTTATTTGATTTCTTTTTTAGTCGGGAGTAAGCACTAGGGAAGAGATCTGTCAAGCGGAATTCTTTACTGTTAATTTCTCGCAATTCAGCAGCTTGTTAATGAAAGCGTGAACAAGGGCAACTTTGATTGAATGACTGCGAATGTATTATTGCTTCCTTGATTTTAAAGTAAACAGGAAATTCATTTCTGTGCTTGTCAGCCATCGCACAGCTCTGGTGGAACAAAGTTCCATCTGTATTTTGGGCATTGAATTGGCAGAGCCAAGAGAGCAGGAGAGAAAATAGGGTCATTTGTAACCGTTAAATGGGGTTGTCATAAAATTGATTTAAGTGTTTTACTCCTTGTCCTTTAGGGAAGAAAACCTATTCTTGCCAGGAAGACCTGCTGGGGATATGATCAGCCAGTGGGTGTAGAAGCAAAAGGTTTCCTGTATAGACTGCAGCAGACAACTAAAGTGGAAGGAACAACCTGTCTTGACCTGGCTGCAATAATTTCCTTGCTGGACACTTTGTTCCATTTCATAATCTTAAAATCTAACTCGGTTTGATTTCCTGCTAAGAGGTGGTCTTGTCTATTTATACTGCAGCCACAGTGTTTTTCTTTGGCAGAATCTCTCGTGTGTGACTGACTCATTTCCCTGGCTCTCCACACTTTAGCCCACATATCGCAGAATAGATAATCATCCTCAGTAAATGAGCACTTGCTGGGATATGTGCTGGACTGATTCATCTGTTTATCCTGAATGCACTATTTTTGAATTTAAAAGAAGTAAATGATTTTAAAGTCTGCCTTCCTGTAATTACAGCAATATTTCTTACATATCATTTCTGGGCATGGGGCTTTGGCTTTTCCTGCAATAGCAACTATTTAAGTGACCATGCTTGGCTGTAGATACCCAAGTTTTGTGTGTGTGTGCATGTGTGATTGAAGAAATAGACACAGAAAATAGATGCAGGAGTAGGCCATTCGGCCCTTCAAGCATGCACTACCATTCAATATGATCATGGTTGATCATGCAATCTCAGTGGCCCATTCCCGCTTTCTCTCCATTCCCCTTGATCCCTTTAGCCGCAAAGTCCATGTCCAGCTCCCTCTTGAATATATCTAATGAACTGGCCCCAACAGCTTCCTGTGGGAGAGAATTCCACAGGTTCACAACTTTCTGAGTGAAGAAATTCTTCCTCATCTCAGTCCTGAATGGCTTAGCCCTTATTCTTAGACTGTGACTCCCTATTTCTGGACTTCCCCCAACATCGGGAACATTCTTCCTGCATCTAGCCTGCCCAGTCCCATCGGGACTTTATATGTTTCTACGAGATCCCCCCCTCATTCTTCTAAATTCCAGTGAGTATAAGATGTGTGTGTGTCTATGTCTGAATCCCTACAGTGCAGAAACAGCCATTCAGCCCATCAAGTCCACACCGACCCTCCGAAGAGCGTCCACCCAGACCCACCCTATCCCTGTAACCCTGTATTTCCCACGGCTAACCCACCTAGCCTGCACAACCCTGAGCACTATGGAACAATTTAGCATGGCCAATCCACCTAATCTTTATTTCAGAGATACGAGGAACTGCAGATGCTGGAGAATCTGAGATAACAAGGTATGGAGCTGGATGAACACAGCAGGCCAAGCAGCATCAGAGGAGCAGGAAAGCTGACGTTTCGGACCTAGACCCTTCTTCAGAAATGGGGGAGGGGAAGGGGATTCTGAAATAAATAGGGAGAGAGGGGGAGGCAGATAGAAGATGGATAGAGGAGAAGATAGGTGGAGAGGGGATAGACAGGTCAAAGAGGCGGGGATGGAGCCAGTAAAGGTGAGTGTAGGTGGGGATTTAGGGAGGGAATAGGTCAGTCCAGGGAGGACGGACAGGTCAAGGGGGTGGGATGAGGCTAGTAGGTAGGAGATGGGGGTGGAGCTTGAGGTGGGAGGAGGGGATAGGTGGAAGGAAGGACAGGCTAGGGCGGTGGGGACAAGCTGGGCTGGTTTTGGGATTCGGGGGAGTTGAGATTTTGAAGCTTGTGAAGTCCACATTGATACCATTGGGCTGCAGCGTTCCCAAGCGAAATATGAGGTGCTGTTCCTGCAACTTTCAGGTGGCATCGTTGTGGCACTGCAGGAGGCCCAGGATGGACTGTTGTCTAAGGAGTGGGAGGGGGAGTTGAAATGGTTCGTGACTGGGAGATGCAGTTGTTTGTTACAAACTGAGCGTAGGTGTTCTGCAAAGCGGTCCCCAAGCCTCCGCTTGGTTTCCCTGATGTAGAGGAGGCCACATCTTGAACAGCGGTTACAGTATACCACATTAGCAGATGTGCAGGTGAACATCTGCATGATGTGGAAGGTCTTTTTGGGGCCTGGGATGGGGACCATCCACCTCCCTAACCGGTCCTTCCTTCCACCTATCCCTTCCTCCCACCTGAAGCCCCACCCCCATCTCCTACCTACTAACCTCATCCCATTCCCTTGACCTGTCCATCCTCCTTGCACTGACCTATGCCCTCCCTAACTCCCCATCTACACTCACCTTTACTGGCTCCATCCCCGCCTCTTTGACCTGCCTGTCTCCTCTCCACCTATCTTCTCCTTTATCCATCTTCCATCTGCCTCCCCCTCTCTCCCTATTTATTTCAGAATCCCCTTCTCCTCCCCCATTTCTGAAGAAGGGTCTAGGCCCGAAATGTCAGCCTTCCTGCTCCTCTGATGCTGCTTGGCCTGCTGTGTTCATCCAGCTCTACACCTTGTTATCCCACCTAACCTTTGCACATCTTTGGACTGTGGGAGGAGCACCTGGAGGAACCCATGCAGACACAGGGAGAATGTCCGAGACAGTCGCTTGAGGCTGGAATCCTGGTGTTGTGATGCAGCAGTGCTAATCACTGAGTCACTGTATTCTATGCAATTTTCATTAGGCAGAGAGACCAAACTTGCAGAACCAGCTTCCACTGCTTACTATAAACAATGGGACAAACTGACTACAGATATGTCAATTCCTATTTTTGTGGACCCATGATTTATCCCAAATATATAATTCTGTTTGTTAATGATAAGGAGCACAGTCTGCATTTCCTCTCAGTCTGGCTCAGAGGTAACTAGCAGTTGTCATTTTCTTTTCTCCTTTTATATCCAGAAATTCTCTTGCACACAACTGAACGTACTTTGATCACTCGTGGTACTTTTTTATGTCTATTAACCACCACCAGTAAATCACCCACGTTTTCGAATTGATTAACAAGCTTTGCCAGTAAATTAAAGTCATACCTGGTCGTCATGGCAATACAGTGTGATGAATTGTGCCTCAGATGTTCTGGGATGTTTTGGAATTGACAAGGTGCTATTTAAATGGAAGTTTCACTGCCGGTGGGGAAAGCATCCAGCTACAGGCAGCTGGGTTTGTCTAGTAAATACCCGGCTGATTATACACCAGCGACGCTTTAGCAGATGGCATCGTGCTGCATTATTGACCTTGCCAGGCCGATGAAGTGGAGCTATTGATTGAGGTGCCTGACCAGCATGCTTCTTGGGTTATTTGAGTGCATTATGCAGATGGCGATACTGAGGGAGCTGTCGAAATGAATCATGCAGAGACAGATAGCAATTCAAACAATTAGCCATTCAGGTTCGCAAAGTACAGTCTCACTTCAAGATGGCTGGAAGCAGGTGCTCCTAGTTCAAGTGCCCTGTAAACTTGACAATGAGCAAACCAAAGATTAGTCCTGTTACTCGCTGACCCCTTGTGCGTGTGTGAACAGATAAACTGGAAATAAAGCAGAGGTGGATGGGTGTACTGGAGAAGATTGCAGATAGGATTGGTATTGTTCAACCAGTCCTGCCAAAGTGGGGATTTTAATTCCAGCCAGTTCTACTGCTGGTACAGGAATTCAGTTATCCACTGCACCACGCAATGTGGTGGATTTTTGAGATCAGTTTCCGGTTTAGAAATTCCCAAACACATCAAAATGCAATCCAAAAGTGAATAAATGACCAATCTACCGCTAGGACACTGACTGAATGTCTCCCTTTGTTCCTCGTGAGCAATTCAATAGGCCCAGGGTAGTCTCTCCATTCCCAAAGTGATCATGTTTTGCAGTGTGAGGGAGTTGGTCATCTCAGTTATCTGGAAGGCTGGTTTGCAATGCAGAGTGATACCAGTAGTATGGGTTCAATTCCCACGCTAGCTGAAATTACCATTAAGAATTCTGCTTCTCATCCTCTCCCCTTACCTGCAGCTTGGTGACCCTCAGATTAAACCGCCACCAGTGGTCTCTCTCCAACGAGGGAGTAGCCCTGTGATCTGGTAAGAGTATGGCGATGTTACCTTTAGTCCAGTCTAACTGTAATTGGAACAACAATGGTCCAAGGGTGGGCTGATATCTAAAATTGGTTGGCATTATCAAGCTGTGGCACATGTGATGAAGATGGGCAAGCAAAAATGATCAATCTTCCCACACATTGCAATCTGTCCTGTTGTTGTCATGCAAGAAGGACTAATCTTTTAACTTAGCACCAATTCCCTATTCGATGCTATTCTGGGAAGCCAGCTCAGATTGGGAACTCCTTGGGGCAGGTTTCTAGGTTCTCATGTATCTAAGCGATTTTATATAACAGAATGCGATAGATAGTGTTGCTTCTATCTCTGAGTTTTCTATGTGGATAGGTGCAGGCTTTACACATTAGCTGAATTATTGCACAGCTTTTGTGGCTTTTTAGTGCACAGGGCCACTCCAGTTTTTTAATGTTACTTTTTAAGGTTTGTTTGCTCTATTTTCTGTCCCTGGAGGTGATGATTTTCCCCGAAGTGCTCTTTCATAAGGTTCTAAGCAGCCCCTGCAGCTTATCTGAACACCCACTCTGATGCTGCAATCCTAAATTGCAATAATCAGGTGGGTAATTTGATTATGGGGTCTCTTCTGCCTTCACCCAATATTCATGTCCTCTAACTTATCACTGGACAGCAAAAAGCACATTCTACCTCTTCTTTAGCCCAGGAGCACAGAAGTTATTCCAACACCACACCCCTTCATCCCACCTCACCCCCACGCTACTGCCCTGCCTGGGCTCGGCTCATTCAGCACATCCAGGATTAAACTGGTGTCTCTCCTGGTTCTGTACTGTGATGAGATTGCAAAGCTCCCTCTCTTCAACAAAGGCCCTGCCTTTGCGTGCGATATTTCACTCACAGGAACACCTCATGGAGCTGAATATCTATGAGAAACACCATGCTTCTGTTTTTGCTCTTGGTGTAGGAAGTAATTGTTTCTGAGGTCACTTGGAACAAGTTGCATCTTAAACTCTCAACTGAGGTCAAATTCTTTATCCCGTTCTCCCTGGGGGGCTGAACTCTCTCATTCTTGCACCAACTGCAGTGACTTCTTTTAACTACATGGGATGTCAGATTGAAAGAGCTCCACCTTGTTTATTATTGAACTGAAGTATACTAACCTGTGGCCCTGTATTACTGACCATTCTGCACAGATACAAGTACTGCCACTTCCCTGAGAAGACCTATTAAACACTATTATTGAGGAGGATGTGTGTATATGCAGAGATGTCTGTATGTAACCCAGCCTTTTTAACCCTCACATAATTTAAGATTTCAAATGCCCTGCAACTGTGTTCGCACTACAGCCATAAAGCTAACACCGTGTGGAGCTGGAGGAACACAGCAGGCCAGGCAGCATCAGTGGAGCAGGAGAGCTGATGTTTCAGGTCGGGACCCTTCTTCAGAAATTTCTGAATTCTTCAGAATTCTGAACCAGCATCATTCTATGTGCCAAGTAGGAGATAACC